GATGATGATGATGATGATGATGATGATGATGATGATGATGATGATGATGATGAAGCAAGACTTTAAATGTACCTTTTGTTCCTGATAGGAAGATATAGCAAAAGGTTTGAAGAGTCACAGAGAGCCAAGTGAAAAGTTGGATTTCTCAGTATTCGAACAGAGGTCGGCATATTATTCTATTATTGTGACAATTGGGCTTAATTGAACAATACGCCCAAACAATGAAATCAATATATGTGAACACAAATCAACATTGTTTTTTTTTGTGTTTCAGGTGGCCTATCTGGGTCTCTGTTTGTAGTCATGAATTATAAACTGACTGTAATCAGGCAAAAGTAAGTCTTGATGATACTTCAATTGATAGGAGCTTTTGTTCGCCAACTATTGTACGCTCGTATAATTATTACAGTAAAACGAATGCGTCGATAATAACACGAACAAAAGTAAAAGCCTAAGGGGATCTCTAAACATTCAGAGTTTTTTCTGGTGAAACACACACACAGACACACGCACACACACACACACACACACACACACACACACACACACACACACACACACGCACACACACATACACACACAAACATACACACAGACACACACACATTCATAGATTTGTATGTATATATATAATATAGCATAATATATGTTTGATAATGTACATGTATATAATATAGCGAGGAACAGGAACCTTGGCACTAAAGATATGCAAGTGGTTCGTGGGTGTATTCGAGAAATTTGTCGTTTTCATCGTCTTCTTTTTTTAGTTCTTTTTCATCTTTATCTGTTCCTCGAAAAGCGGGAGTGGCGTTTGCTCAGTAGTAAAGGCGCTACGAACCCTGGTTCGAATTCTCAATGGTAGATTTTTTTCATTTTTACTGTTTTGAGGGGTTTTCAAGGCGCCCCATCTACCTGGCCCGGTCCTATGGGAGGTGGACGTACAATTCCATGACCCCCACCTCTTCCATACCCTTACAGAGTTGAAAAGGTTGCCAAACTTGTACAGTTACCACAATCCCATAGCGAGGGGACACGCCATAAACTTCCTCTCAGTTCTCAGTATACCTGAGCCCTCTAATTGGACCTTACTATACTAACACACTCCATGGACTTCATTCTTAACGAGGCTAACACTTTTGACTTATTTTGAGAACTTGGTGGGGAGGGTCGATATTAATTCATTTTGCCACACTTCCTTGAGTCTAACTGTGTGTCATGTCCATAGATACCTGCATCGCCACAAGTGGGTGAAGGTCGCCGAGGCTGGTCTGGTGTCTGCTGTTAGCGCTATCCTCGCATTCATCCTGATGTTCGGCATCAATGACTGCACCACCGCTGAGCCGTACAGCCACCACGCAATCACCACTACCGTAAGTCTGAATAGAAAAAAAAAACGTGTACCTAGCCCTACACTTTCAAAGCTGAGAGCGCTTCGGATTATGTTTGTACAGACACGATTACATGTTCACTTAAGGGAGATGTAAACGAAACCATAATACCTTTCGCCTTAGTAAGGATAAGCAACTGCACAAATTGCAATTTCGTCTTCTAAGACGTTCTCTTTACACCAATAGGAAAACAGCAATGAATCAGTTTCTGAGATCACATACGGCTACACGGGAGTGAAGTGGCTTGATAACCCTTTCCAATTTTCAATCCCCCAAAACCCCTATACTCTCCTGTTTCTTTTCATAAACCCACACGTTCATTGGTTGCCTGAAAAAATGTCTGTTAAACCCAAGATCTTTAAATGGAAGATTAAATGATGAAGAATCATGACCATATTTAGAAGATTTAGTCGATCTTCAGCTTCTAATATTGGGGGTGAAAGTGTTAACATGATTTGTCAGCGCATGGATTAAGAATGATAGATGCAATTATGAATATATTTTTACTGTACGTGGTTTGCTGACAACAAAAACGTTGTAATGATGTGATGCGTTCACACGTTCATTCAATCATTTGTTTCTCCTTTCGTTCGTTTATATGCTCATTTGTTCTTTCTAACCTTACATCCCCCCTCCCCCCGCTATGATCCCACCCCACCCTTGTGCTGGGAGTAGATGAACTGTTCTGAAGGTCACAACTCCATGTCCACCATGTTCCTCACGACCCCGGAAGGCTGCCTCAAGTCCCTCCTCCACGATCCATTGGGTAAGTACGAACAACAGAGTGGCGTCGGCAGTTACGTGGTTAGACTGCCGGACTTGCAGTTATGAGACTGTGGTTCGAGGGCTCAAGATTCAGATCGGTCAGACGTTATGTCCTTGGGAAAGGCGGGAATACAAAAAAAAAGACAAAACTAAAGAAACAAAACGTTTGCTCTTTTTATTTCCTAATGTCTTACTTTGAGTCTAGTATGTTGTAAGAACATAATTTGTTTCAATATTCCAGCTTGTTTTTCTTACTTTCATTTCAGATACTTACAGCGTCCTCAGTCTGGTTATTTTCATTGTCTTCTTCTTCTTGCTGGGTGTTTGGACCTACGGGCTGAGCGTCTCCAGCGGTGTGTTTATTCCTTCTCTGGCCATCGGTGCTGCCTGGGGCCGCCTCATCGGGATGGGCGTTGTGCAGCTGTTTCCTGACCAGGTACATAGAAAAATATGTTTTTCTGGTTTGCATTGGAGGGGGGGAGGAGGAGGGGAGGAGGGGGGGAGGAGGGGGGGAGGAGGGGGGCTACTTCGTTCTTTTAAACGAGGACTCCTTGCTGATGATAATGTTATTATGATTATTGTTGTTTGGCTGTTATTTTTATTGTTATTTTTGTTGTTGTTGCTGTTAATTCAAATTATCGTGTTGTTGTTGTTGTTGTTGTTGTTGTTGTTAATATGTTTACCTCTGTTCTTTTTTGTCCTATTTGTTGCTCTTTCCCCGTTCCAGCACCGTTAAACGCGCGTTACGTGTCTTGTGTTCAAATGTCTCTAAAATCAAGTTATGATGTTCCTTGTCTGCCTTTTCTAAATTATACAATTGAAATACAGCACATGTATTCATTACACAGGACTTGAGAAAGACGAAAATGAAGGAGCAAAAGAAAACCAGCGCACTGCGCCTACGTTTTTAAATCAAGTTAACACTTTGAACACATCAGTCCCCTGTGCTGCTTGACAAACAGGAGCAACCTTTATTGAAGACTTTCCCTTATTATCACGCTCGTTTTCGATTCAGAACTAGAAAAATATTCTCCTATACTTATTGATGTGGATTGTTATGTTATGTTTGTCGAAACTTGGTTCCTTCAAACATTTGACGCGGACAGCTAAAGCTTGATACATATTTTATCCTTCTTTGAGTGATAATTGGTCCCTGATATACCACATAATGTCCTCATGTATCTTCTTAGACGCGTCACCTCTGCTTTCGTCTTTAAACCAAAACTTCTCATCTAGATGCTGCCATCAAGTTCATTTCTGACATTATCGGATTTTTTAATTATGCGTAATGAAACCACAATCATTTTACGCCATGGTCTTATTGAAAAGAATGCATTACAATAGTTCCACTCTTCTGCAGTACAAAGTAGGAGGAAATATGTCAATATGAAAACATTGATCTTTCTGTGTTGATAAAGCATGTGCCAACTGTAAGACGGTACGCACGGATGAGAGTCACACAAAGATGTTCACACATGTGTAAATGGATACATCAATTCATTCATTCTTTCATACTCTCTCTCTCTTTCTCTCTCTCTCAATCTCTCTCTCTCTCTCTCTCTCTCTCTCTCTCTCAAACACACACATACACACATACACTCACACACATACACACACACACACACACACACATACACAACACTCTCCCTCCCTCCCTCTTTCTCGCTCGTGTATCCCTTCTCTATCCCCCCCTCTCCCTTCTTCTCTCTCTCTCTCTCTCTCTCTCTCTCTCCTCTCTCTCTCTCTCTCTCTCCCTCCTGCCCCCCCCTTTCTCTCCTCCCTCGGCACCTCTCACTTCATTCACTCAGTCACTGAGATA